CTTAACTAGAAACTATAATATTAAAAATCAGGAAATTAATGAAAATAAAATTTTGAAACGTCAATATTTTCAGAAAAATAGACTCTACAAAATGGCTATCTTTAATTTTTTGGATAAAAATATATAGTTTTTAAATTTTTTACAAAAACATTGAAATAAATTAAAAAATGAAATAATTGTAGTTCTTATCTTTGTGAATCTTATTATGAAACCCGAATTTTTATATCTCCATTATTTCGTGAGATATCGCAATGGTTAAATACTCGTGGCACCTAACCTGTATATATGTGTGTGTGTATAGGTAGGTAGATCCTATATATACGTAAATGCATGTATTTTAGAAATTTCTCGTTTTTATGACAAATACTTAAATAATGACTACTGAAAATACTATTTTTCAAATGCTAAATATTATTTAAGTTATTGAGTTACAGTAGTTACACTAATAAATACTTATATACCTAACAATAATGAACAGTTTCCAAAATCGTTTCGTACCTTTAGGTACCTGGCTATATTAATATTAGATTTCGATTTTTGAAACGACATCAGCTACTCGACTATTATTTATTATCATAAAATTATTTATAACATGAACAATTCTCAACAGGCCATGTCTTTACAGACCCCCGGTTTCAGTGGCGTTAGCGTTATCACCTCTGAGGTATCATCCCAACGGGCCCATGGCACCGCCGAGCATTCAGCAAAGGCCCGCGGAACCGTCGCCGACCGCATCTTCGTCACCGAAACAAGAGTCTCACCACGACGACCAAGACGATGGTAAGAATATGACTACCATACGAGTGCYGAGTGGGTTGTGGGACAGATATCGCAATCTCGTGGAATACTTTTAAATAATTTATGTGAAATGACTAATGAMGACGCGTTTTGTGTAAACCGAAAGTTAGAGATGTTAAAAAAAAAACTAGTAATTTGTCGTATTGGGTGTCAGGCGCGATATTCATTGCTCAAAAAACTCCTATGTGGATGATCAGTGGTCGACACTCAATTAGTTAGCCAGTTAGGTACATCATTACTGACTACTCTATACCGTACATCAAAGTAATGTTGGTTTTGCGCCGATCGCTATTTTGAATAGTTTTGTATTTTTGTCATCGTATGTCAGATTTTATAGTTAGTAATAATTATTATCGAAATTATGAAGTTATGTCATTATTATAATTATTATTACTATCGATAGCCTCACACATACATACTGACATATTAACATGGATGTTTTATGGATTTTGGAGCCAACGTGTAATTTGTTTATTATTGTTTATTTAATAAATCCATAAATAAGAATCCAAATCATATTTTACAATCCACATTTTTGATAGAAAACATTATATAAAATTGTGTGTAAAACAAGGTTGTATAAAAAAATGATACTCAGGCCCATCACCTCACACTCTCATAAATATGAGCATAGGGCACAGCGCTCTGAAATAATTATGAGTAAAAGTGAATATATACATAGTATTATGCTGCAGTATATACGCACCGTTGACCTTTAACTATTATTATTTTTACCCCAAATTTTGGATAAGGACGATTAGGTGTATAGGACATAGATATATATGTATTATGGTTCTAACGCTTATCTTTTATCCAACAACAAAATATAAATAAATTCACCATCGCCACACACCACTAAATATTTTAATATCTCTATAAGAAAATAATGAGGGGACTTGAGAAATTTTAATGTCGGAGGGGGGAATATAATATGGTCCTCAAATCTCCTCCTGGCTTCTGCCCTTGCAGGATAAAACCGTCTAAAAGCACTATTCGTGTTTTGTGTGTCACAGATGACAGTATAGACGTGACCAATGAAGAACCGGATACGTCTGACAATAACAAAAGGGCGTCGTCTTCGCCACCGGCAGTTCCGATACCGCTTACCCAACACCATTCCATGTACGACCATCATCCGTCATTCTACCCTGGTCTGCACGAGAACGTTTACGAGACATCCGCCCGTCTGCTCTTCATGGCCGTCAAGTGGGCGAAAAACTTGCCATCTTTYGCATCTCTTCCGTTCAGAGACCAGGTGAGGATTTTGTACAATATCAATGTAAAAAATGTAAATTATGCCATCAAAAGAACTTGGCACTTGAAAATCAGACATTAATATAAGGTTAATAAGAAAAAAAAGCCTTCCAATTATTATACCTACAAATAAATTCTTAAAGTTGAAATTCAATCAAATTTACTAATGTATACGATTAAAGGACAAAAAGGGTGTGAGCACTGAGCAGCATAATAAACATATAGGTATACATGCAATTAAATCACACTGTATACACACTATATGATGCGTATTATTGGCGAATGTAATCGATCCTGCTTTTTTTCAATAATATACAGTAGTCACTTGTCTTGATAATTTGAAAAACTCCATCAATCGAACTAAACTCAAAGTCCCCCCGAGAAAACATCTAAAATTAGAAGAAAATACATTGTATTCCGGTCCCTCGATAATTCGAAATGTCTGTTGTTGAGACGCCCTCTCTGTAATTCGAATTTTTATTCTACGAACCTCTAAATTGGAATCAAAATCTTGCTATCAGTAAGTTAGATAACGCTATGGACCAGATTGTGGCCAGCAGTTTATCACAAAAAAAAAAAAAATAATAATAACAGATTTCTTAAAATAATATGTAAAATATAATAGTATGATAAATAAATGCAATATTATGTACACACATACAATTTTTCACCTCTTTTTAATTTGAATTAATTCGAAAACCTCTATAAATCAAATTTTAACTAGGTCCCTTGAATTTCGAATTATCGAGTGACTACTGTAATACATTAGATACCTATGTCATAAAAGATTAAAAGTTACTATAATATTCTATGCATAGAAACAGTTTAGGTAAACATTATAATTTATATAGTTAAAGCCACTTATAGGGACTTGATATTATTTTATATACGATGGTTCGAAAAGRTTTTATTCTGTTATTTCTATATAATATATTATATCATATTAATATTTATAGGTGATACTCTTAGAAGAATGTTGGTCGGAACTGTTCCTGTTGAACGCGGTTCAGTGGTGTTTGCCACTGGAAAACAACCCACTTTTCAACCCTTCAGATCACGTGGCRGCCATACCCAACGGCAAAGCCAGTCAAGTGGCGGCCGACATACGCGTACTCAACGAAACCCTACGAAGATTCAGGACAATCAGTGTCGACCCGGCCGAGTTTGCGTGCATGAAGGCCATCGTCTTGTTTAGAGCCGGTAACGATTAAATTTTCAAAATTATTTCTATTATATATAACATAAACCGGTGGACGAGTGGGCGATGGACAATTTTAAGGGTTGGGAAAGGGGTGTGCTACTAGTAAGTAGTAGTACCTACCCAACATTATAACTCATGAGCACTATTATATATACGTTATCTATTATCTTTACAAGCGCAAACGGTATACCAAACATATTTTCCTAAGACTTCGTCCTAAAACAATCACAGAAAATAACATTTTTTATGGTTATATAGGTATACCTACACCTATAACAATAAGATATCATGCAGCTTATCTGGCTATCTCGTAGGTATGTTAGTAAAAAACAACATTATCGTGCGAAATAATCTATATTTTTTTTATATTTCAAAAATAATTATAAAAATCTAAAGCTGTAGATCGGAATATACATCAGTCGTTTCAAAGACAATATCGCATAGATACTATWATAAATAAAACGTTATTTTACATTGTAAATTTATTTAATCGTAAATTGTAATTTTATCTACTTTAATTATTGTAAATTTTACAATAATTAAAGTAGGTAAAATTTAGTTTTGTGTGACATGGGCGTTTTCTCAGAAATTGAGTGTCATATAAAAATAAGTGGTTTTGGAGAGGGTACAACAACAATAATTTACCGTGATATATCACTATTATTAAAATATGTTTAAAACTGCAGAATGAGGCAGATATCGTATAGGTAAGTGTAAGAGACATCTTATGAACCTTCCGGTCCTTCCGCATTCACAAGACGCAACGGTCTTTCTGTACAATAATAATATGTAAGTTCCSTTCACAGACATAATTCGATTGTATCGTTGTCAAAGTGTGAACGTACCTCGTAAAAAACTGATCACTAGGTATATCACTGGTGCAGTCCGATACATCTGCCAGCGCTACGGAGCACATTTTTTTTAA